GGGGGGGGGGGGGGGGGGGGAGCAAGCCCCCCAAAATTGTTCAGAATTCCGGCTTTTCCGCAAATTTTTCCATTTTTCTCAAAAAGGCTTGATTTTAGTCAAGGCAAAGCTCCACAAACCAATCTGAAAGTTCGTGAAATCTCGTCTCGCGAAAGATGTGAGTGACTTCGGCCATAACCCACGGCTCCTCCAAAATGGGGGGGAGGGGCTTAAAATGTCAAAATATCTCAACTTTCCTTGCAAATTACCGTTCCGCCGCGATTTCTCGCCAATAGCGCGGACAAAGATGATAATATCATATAATATCGTTTGTTCCTAAACTGATACAGCACACATTTTTCTAAAGAGAAGCTGCTTAGATCCTCGTAAGAGGATAGGGGACTCCTAGGGTACCCACCCTTCATAGGCGTAGCTAGGGGGGTCCTGGGGGGGCCTGGCCCCCCAGAAAACCGGGATCCTCCATTCCTCACCCACCCCCCGCTCTCTTCACCACGAGAGGTGGTCCCATGGCCCCCCCTGAAAAATTTCCTAGCTACGCCCCTGCTACCCTTTAAAAACCGTCGAGATCGGCCGCTTCCTCAAGGTGGCATCATGCGCAGAAATGGACGGCAAAATAAAAACGAGCAGCGTTTGTTCGGAAGGGACGCATCGATGTTGGAGCGAATTCATGGGGAAATAAATTGGATGAAATCTCTACCTTGTCAAGAGCACAGCAGCGTCGTAGTGACTGTTTGCCCCGTTCTCCTCGTTGAGTTTCCGCTGCCAAGCGCAGAATTTTTTCAGTCGCTCAGGACCGGACATCTCCCTGTGCGTCATTTCGCTAAAATCCGAATCGCGCAAAATGACGAGCTTCACCAGGGCTATGCTGATCGGGTTCCCAATGGTAACATCTTTGTAAATTGAAGCTACCTGCAACAGGATTAAAATTAAAGAAATTGCGGTCAGTCGATTAAAACTGAGAAGAAAATCCTGGACTGTCGCAAATTACGGTATGTATGGTTTCTATCTACGTTTGACCAACAACATTTTATTTTAGCAACTACAAATAATTGAAAATTACAACCTCATTACTGGAGCTCGGACGCTCCCGGTTAGAAATTTTCTGAACGCTACAACTTTTGAGACAAGTACTTATTTTAGTTTTGTTTGGTTAGTGCTCCCAACATGAGAGAGGAGGTTGCTGGTACTCCAGCCCCCCAGAGGCATTGAGGTTTCTTGTTGTATTATTGATTCTTAGGGAAATATGAGTCTAATTTTTGCCTTTCGCTATTTTCAAATCCTTTATTTTTTTAATTGCGAGATCCTGACGAACTTTCAAAAAATTTGACTATCGGTTCTTTTGCTGCAAATTAATTAAATTTTTCAAAGAGTTCGTTGTCGACAAAAATAAAGGTTTTGATTACTAACTCAAAATCGCGTGCACAAATGCACAAACCCTAAGTGAAAAAACTCTATGCTCATCTAATTCCAATGCACATTTGATATGCGAGCACTGCAGATAAATTACGTTGATGTCATTTTTCCTCTTTTTTTTTCTTTTTCCCTTTGTGATCAATTTCTTTGGTGACGTATTTGACCAAAGTTGGTGCTAATTCAAGGATTTACTTCGGGTGTGCGGTAAAAATAAGAAATTCATTTGAGATCCGATGCTAAAGTCCTCTTGAGTTTAGAATGGATACTTTTTAAAGGAAGAAAAAATAAAATAAAATAAAAAACGGGTAAAATCTCATCCAGCAGCCGGATTGTTGAAACTTTAACTGGCTATGTCGGCACGATAAGACAAGACATAACCCTATCTGCGCCGTGTAACAAATCGATTTTCGATTCTTGGATGAATTTTTTCTTTTAGCGGCTCTGGTGCTTGCACTAGAGCTACTATTCCGGACGGTCCCAGCTGGGGAGTATCAACGGACCATGTTACATTGGAGAGACCGCGTGTTGGTTGATGGGAATCGGCGCCATTTTCTGCTGTTTAGGGGGGACTGATTTTATTTTAATTGATATCTTTTTCCTGTGAGCGAATGCTATGTTGTGTAGTGTATTTTTGGAATCATGGTGATACTGTCAATAATTCAAAACGGGTCTGTGCTTTAATCTCGCACTGGAAAAAATGTACTTTACGTTTAAAATTTGAAAATTCAAATCTATAAGTTTTCGCGCTTTTTTCGAAGAATGCCGTGGTTGGAGCTTCCTAGTCATACTACTCGACATCAGCTGATAGCAAACAAAGGTTACCAAGGAAACCGTAAACGCGTAACAACTACCTACCGTCGCCAGAGCCGCTTTCCGACGCGAATGCGTTGGAGCTTCCTGCTTGTTTTCTTATCGACCCGTAGAATTTGGAAACAAATATAATGCTGAGATTTGGGAAGGAGAAAAAAGTTGCTTCAACTCTTCTAAATTTGTACGGGAATGACTAAAACTACGCAGATTGATGGCAATTTTTTTTTTAAAAAAATGTGCGGATGTGGTGCATGGATCCTCTTCATGCTGGAAGGCGGTCTCTTAGCCCCCCCCCCCCCCTTGAGATATCTGCAAAAATAAGGGCCCTCCGGATAGTTTAGCCCCGGGGCCCAAGGAAGGATGTGGAGGGCCTGGTTTTAACTACCAAATATATAAAAATATGTGGCTGAATGAAAACCCGGCAGCACCGAATACGATACAGACTTTTCAAGTCGGGTCAATTCGCCAATTCCGCCCTCTGTAATCAAACTATCACCGATTTGTCCTCTTGACCTGTCTCCGGAGAAACATCAACGTATGAGCAGCTGTCGGCCTACGGGAATAAAAAAAAGAACATCGGATCGTTTTAAATTTTTCGACGACTTAAATCGAATCCGATACTCATTGTCTTGAAATTAATTTACGCTGCCGACGGCGGTTGGCGATCTACAGTTGAATGGCCTCTATGCGGTGCCTCAAAGGGTGTTTAATTTTTTGCGGCAGATTGAACCTATCATCAAAAAGAGCTGGATCTAGGGACGTCTTATGGAGACTGCCATGGATCAGTTAAGCAAGTCGCGGAATCGTGTTTTGATGATTTCAGACTATAGATCAGCAAAAATAACAAGCGGGAAAGTTCTAATACTGTCGTATTAGAAAAGCGCTCAGGTGTTAGTAAATGTATTTAGTGGAGAAAGGAAGTACAAACTCCGTCGACTTGGCTGAGAAATGGAAATAAAACATCAGCTGATAGCAAACAAAGGTTACCAAGGAAACCGTAAACGCGTATTTTTGTTTCCCGAAAATGAGCTCACCGTTGAGCTCACCAGGCGCGTTTTTTTTAGGCTTCATTTGAGTTCAACGATCAATTTCGATAAGAATTACTCTACCGCTAAGAAATTTTCTTATAGACGAACGATCGAAACTACCTGCGCATTACGTTAAAAGCATAAAATGCAGTTTTCACAGCTTTATTTATTTTGAAAATGGACCCCCCCCCCCAAAAAAAAAAGCCTACACATCGATGAGCTGGTGTGCCATTTAAACGCATTAGCACTGGTATACTAGTACTCAGAGGCAAGTCGAAATCAAAAAGCGCTGCCTATCGGCTGAGCGCTTAATAGGATCTGTCCATTCCATACATCAGGTCCGGATGAGTAGAGAAAAAGGGAAGAATAAAAAGAAATGAGAAAGAAGAGGAATGGTGGTATCATCGTGAAATTGCACGTTTGCTCGAAAACTTGCAAAAAATAGCTTTTTACTTAGCATAGAAAGATTAAATACACGCCATGTCAGTTTGCCTTCAATTTCAGCAAAGGCAACACGAGTTCCCACGAGGTTGAACAGTGGTATTGTTGTGAAATGGATACTCAGTCAGCATACTCAAAAAATAGCTTCCTACCAAACCGGAGGAGTTCCTTCAACGCCAAATTAGTTTTCCTTCAATTTTTAGAGTAGGCAAAACGAGTCCCCACGTGGTCGAATAGTGGTATCCTCCCTCAAATAATAACAGCATTAACAGTCGGACGGTTTTTGTCGGCGAAGTTGTTGAAGACCCGATGACATGAGAAGAACATGAAAAAAAGAAGGAAAAGAAGAAGAAGAAAAGAGAAAAAAGAAACAGAATAAGTAAAGAGAATGAAGAAGAGAAAAATAGGAAGTAACAATAGAAAATAATAAGAATTTTTTTACCAAGCTGGAAAAGGTTATTGTAGTGTCACGTCAGTTTGCCTTCAATTGTTAGTGTAGGCAACACCTACTCACACGTGGTCGAATAGTGGTATCGGCCCCCGTGTACCTGGCTTCTGTCGGCAAATGCGTTGAGGACACGATATTGTTGGTTAAAATGTATTGTCTCTGAGTAGCAAATCAATGTTTCGAAGGGAAAAGTTATCGGATGTAGAAATGAGAACTTACAACTGAAACCAGAGTGAGGATGTAGAGGTGGAGTCCGGCTCCGTGGTAATCCGCCATCTTTTGATCGGCCGCTACCATGAGCTCTACGAAGTATTCTTGCGATGTCGACCGTTTCCTTCGGCTTCGTGATGGGGTTTCTTGAGTCGTCGAAGGCTCGCTCAAGATTTCTTGAACTTCGATGTTTTCTTCTGAAAAGATGAGAGCGTAAGTATTGGTAAAGCAAAACTTATAATTTATTTACGTGCGGGGTAATGTATCGTTCACGTGCACGGAGAATAAAACTTCGTGCGTGGGACCTGAAGTTGAGGTCATATGGATCTCTGAAGTTTCCAGATCACGTATCTGAAAACTTGAGGTCCAGCTGCCGAAGTTCGGGTCAGAGATCGAGGCACTTCGGTATATACCGAACCGAAGTACTTCAGATGTGTGACCCGAACCCTTCGGTACATATTGAAGTACATCAGATGTCTGACCCGAACTTCGACAGCTTAACCTCAAGTTTTTAGATACGTGATCCGAAAACTTCAGAGACCCATATGACCTTAACTTCGGGTCCCACGCACGAAGTTTTATTCTCTGTGATAGATTATATTAGAGAAATGTTTTTTTCCCTTTTTTTTTTTTTTTTTTTCCCCAAATTTGATTTAGAAAATTTGGTCATAACCACTTTTCGATGACTAGGCTGAGCAGCCGTGACCAAAAGATAATTATACAAGCTGAACGGTCAGGATTTTAATATTGAACAAATGGAAAGTTGAAAGATAAAATCACGTATGATAGTTTGCTTTCAAATTAGAACCGATTACAATATTAGAGAGATCAAAAACAAGCAAAAATCAAACCAGCCTTTCATTTGAGACAATTATAGGAACGCGCCCGCCGTCGCAGGTAGAACCACTGGCTAGCCCCCCGTGGTATTAATCAACCTGTCAACACATACCGATAAACCATCCTATTTTACCCGAGGGTGATATTTTTAAATCAGACTTCGTGTTATGGATTTAGAAAATTATTTCGCGTGCCGACTTGTGATCTCTGACTTATGAGCCTTTTTCTGAAATGCCAACGACGCCAAAATTCTCAGACGACTCATCAACTTACCGGCCCCGCAGGATGTATAGTCTTTAAGTGCTGTCATTTTGTACTTTCCGTGTTTGATTTGAGGGATGTGTGTGTTAGCTATGATAATTGCGCGACTTTAACTAGAATCAGTCTAACTTGCGTTGCCTAACTTCCTCTCGTGTTTCAATGTTTTAATAGGGAACTAAACAACATTGCGGCTTGAATCTTCCCTCGGTTATGAAGAATATATTTAGAAAAAATCGAGTCATGCAAAATGTTGTTTAGTTTTCTGGTAAAAGAATAAAATTTGATAGGAAATAAGATAACGCCTGATTTCGTTAAGCCTAGACTATAGAAGGCCTCCAAAAATAACTTTGACTCTAATTTAAATTTCGTCCTCACTTTTTGATTCTTTGTTTTATGAGAATTGAAGAAGGGTCAAATTTTCTTTCAATGGTAAATGCTCACTGAGTGTTTGTTTGTTGAATTGTACGATTTTAAAACAGATCGTCCTCTGATTCTGAAATGTATACTTTACGGTGTAAAAAGAATAACGAACTAAATGATCTCCTGATCACATTTTTGGTTTGCTAGTTCTCACTTTTGGGTCAAAAAATCAATTTCATTACTTTCACGCACAGCTGTGCTGACTGAGTGAGCTAGACACCCTTCTTCCCAGCGCATACTTTTACCAAACTCACCGAAAAAATTAAAAGTTAGAAAATTCATGTCATTGTCAACATTGGGTTAATGGTAAAGTGAAACCAAATGTTTACAACGATGCGACCTAAATTTTGCACGCAACGAAGATCTCGAGAAATTTTGTTCCATTAGAACTCAAAGTAGTTCATCCGCTGATCAATCTGATTTTAACAATTCGCCGACGGAGCAGTCAGTGGTCATCGATAGTGGCGAAGCGTGAATGATCGATTATTGATATTTTCCCATTTGCAACTATGATAAAGAATCAATTATTCAGATGTACACGAACACCCTGTTCGTCGTTCCTTTTCCATAGATTTACACGGCAGATCAATCGATATATCGCAAAGCACGCCGCCCCCTGGTCATCCCTACACGCACATGAATTTTCATACAAAGTCAGCAACCCACAGCACTGATGCTTGATAGAGGAAACGGCAAATTATTTGAGATTGACTCTTGTTAAAAATCAAATATTGTCCCAGCACGACGAGACGTCTACTGCCGTGCTAAGGAAAAACGCCGTATGAACATTCGAGAGTTGCCAAATTCCCCGGAATAAAACATGTATTTTTTTAAAAAAAGTGATGCGTATTTTCCCTTAAAACTATCCGATATTTTTGATTATATTGGGAACAAAATTGTCTGACAAATTGGAAGACAAATATTCTGAGTTTCCCAATAAATTTTTTGGTTATTAAAGGAAATATGGCAACGCATGAAGGCTCGTACGGCGTTTTTCCTTAGCACGGCAGTCTAGTCATTAAGTTCTAATCACGCAAGGCTTCTTCATGCGAAGACTCATATCACGGAAGGCTTCGTGGGAGTCTAAATTTTTCTTCTATTCAGTGTTATTTGAATGTTAGCATAAACGAAAAATGCAGATGTTAGAATTCTTTATGTAATTCCTAAAAGTAATGTATAAAAAAAAAGTGCAACAGCCCCATTAAGCTACGCATTTTTTGCACTTTACAGTTAGCCATCAAGTGTTTAAAAGAGTGGATGATCGACGCATCATACCCGGCGGCCTCCTACTGCAAATTTTCGAGTTCAAGTTCTCTCAGTCCTTACTGAGAACGCTTTTAACAGAGCTGTCTTCTCTGTATGCACACTAAACGATGCCTCGAACGTGTCAGGTCCGAGAAACTGACGGCAATAAATATCCGCATCCTATTAGCCGGGCGTGAACCCAATCGTTTTCCAGTGTTTAGACTGGAGCTAGACGAGCCACTGGCCGCGAGAGGTCCCATTAAAATGTAAATGTATCGCGTTAAATGACCCATATTTTAATTGTTGCAGCAATTAACAATGATTCTACCGTTTGCAGTAATGCAGGTCTCGGAGGGGAGGGGGGCGGGGGCTCAGTTTGTTCAATCGCGTAAATTTGCATGTTTATTTGCCGCTTCACGCACAAGCCGGCTCATCAGTGATTAATTTATTCGAGAACCGTTCAAGACTTCTAGGAATCAACCCCCCCCCCCTCTTTTCCTGAAAGTGTAAATGTTTGCTCCGGCGCTACCGTGAACTTGAAAGACGAAGCCGCTACGCCGGCTGATCTGCGGAAAGTTCGTAAACATTTGTGGCTATTAATGGTCTCCATCGCGAAACCTTTTTTTTCACATTTTACTTCTCGTTAGACCTGCACTCTTTTCCCAAGGAAATTTTGGATCCCTACACTCTTACAGAGAAAAAATACACCTGAAATATGGTTAAAAGAATATTTTTCTTAATCGGTACAAAATTCTCTTTGAAAGCATTCATAAATTACTTAAGGCACTTTTTTGGCATTTTCACCCTGCCCACCCCCCAATGTAACGCTTCCATAACGTATCCATTAACGCGTAAAAACAAAATGGCGTAACGCTTTACTTGACCCTCCCCCCCCCCCAGAGCTTTACGTAATTTATGGATGGCTCTTTTGACTTAAATATATTTTTGGGAGTGACTATGTTTTGAGTGAAAGTAATAATATTTTTTTATTCAAATGATTTATTCAGATATTTACGATGAACTATTCATTCCGTGAGAAGACATGCTGAGATTTTCGATGACACAGATGAGTCTACCGTGCGGACTAAGGAGCACGCACATGGCGCATGGTAGGGCCTGCACGGGAAACGGAAATTGACTGCGAGTGTAAATTTGACTATTGTCACGTTTCAGAGTTGCGCAGCCTTGGTTGATTCACTTCGGTGGTCATCCTGCTTAAGACGAGAGGTGGCCGTTTTTCTTTTACCCCCTCTCCTCCTTCCGCCACTCCGATGATTAGAGCCTTCCTACAGCCAGGGCTTGGAAGGAGAAGAGGGCGATTACGATAAGACTTGCTTCTCGAACTTTCGCGTGGCAATCCTGAAAATTGTAAAATTTGGCGTCCCCACTTCCCTTCCGCAAAAGAATCTTTGCATTTTAGAGACTTGGCGCTAACAATCATTAAGAAATGTAATCGGGTGGGGCAAAAGTTAAGTTCGGAGATCGGAGTTATTTTTCGCTGAATGATGACGAATGAGCAACTTGATGAGTATAAAATTCGTCGAATGGTGACAGGCGAATGTTATGGTGAGCGATTGGTTAAACGTAAACTACCACTAAATTTATATTTGAGGGAGACAGTTTCCCCTAAATTTTGGGGGGAAAGTGACTTGCACCCTCATCTAGGACACTAGCAAGTCGAGAGGCGTCTATCGATGCCTCACTTGAAGTGTTTGAAAATACTATAGCTGCTAGCTTCTAAACATTGAAAAATTGAATTTTCAGGCGAAATTTTGACCGGATATTTTCTAAAACTCTGTCAAAGACCAGGAAGAGGCTAGCCACCCTGACTGACACTCCTCTCCCCATGACCAATAGCTGTAAAACGCATCGTTTAGTTTTACACTCGAGGGCTCGTGAGCCTCGTCACGGACTCCCTCCGATGACCAGCTATCGGGCTGATTATTGAAATTGATAGACTAACCAATAGACAAGAAAAACGTCAGGAGAATGGAGAGTTCCTTTTGGTGGAAACGGGTGGTTGCAATGGGCAGGGGAGGTATAAGTGGTAGATTGACTAACAGCAACCCATGAGACCCTATAGTTTGTCCATCATTCTCCCCTTAGTCTATAAGAACCACCCGTTTCAACCGAAAAGATCGCTTTATTTCCCCGTCATCTTCTTTGCCTTTGTCTATCAATTTCAATGATCAGCTCGAAGCTACGACTTGACTAGACTGTCAAAAAGATGCTTCATTTGAGAGTCTACCATCACACCGAACGGAGCACGTTCTGCGTGCAAGGAGGTGCAATGAGTCAAAGCAGAGCGCACAGCCGCGGCACAGACAGCTTAGAGCAACACTGACAACTGGTTTATTTGTCTTAGGTCCATTTCCTGCCTTGCACGAGTCGCATGGCGATGAGTAGGCCAATCGGAAATGGGGCTAATAAATATTTCATAGAAGAAAGTTCACGGTGTTTCGCTTCGTTAACCCGTGTGCCTGCCGCACACTGAGTAAATAACTTTTAATACAAACAACTTTTTTTTACAACACATACTGTGAAAAGTAATATCACTGTCCCCTTAATGGATGCAATCAATTTTGACTCCACTTTTGAGTCCAATTCGAATAGCTTTACACTCATTTCACTGCAACTGACTCTTTGAAACTCTAATAGAGAATTTGCAGGTGTCTGAAATTTGATGAATTTCGTGTTAAAGTGGAAACTGCTGAATGAACTGAACACGAGGATACCCTTTACCCGTTTTGAAAAATCTTCCACGTCAGGATTCATGCAAAATGAAAGAGAGTATGCCAAGTTGACTCACCGGTGAGACCACAATGGCTGGCGGTAGAGTCTTCCTTATCCGTAGCCGGCACTCGGTAAAAATGGTGCAAGATAGGGGTTGTAAAATTTTCTGCCTGTTCCGCTGGTTCGATGAAGAAATTTCCTGTGGACGTGCGGATATGACCCTTCTGAAACACGCAAAAAAGTTCGGGTTGGTTCAGAAATTATTTCAAGACAAAAACATGGGACATGTGACAAAATTCATACACTGGAAAAAAAAAACACATTGGATCTAGAGTCCAGACTCTTAAAAACATCGACAAGAAAAATTACTCTTGATTCAATCAGAATCTAGCTTAAATCAAGAACCAAACCTCTTAATTTAAGCGAATTTCGTTTTGATTTAAGCAAAAATCCGATTGAATCAAGAGTATTTTTCTTTTTGTCAATGTTTTCAAGAGTCTGGACTCTAGATCCAATGTGTTTTTTTCCAGTGTACATTGAGCATAACAACGCAAATTTCATTTCACGGAATGAAAACTTTTAAAATTTCTTAGAGAGTTTCAAAGCAGTTCACAGAATTTTCAGAGGCTGTTAAGCACCCCGCAATAAATGATGGAGAACTCAACAAGGAACTCTGAAGTTCGACTTGAAATTTTTTTTGTTCAAAATTATGGGTATGGTTTCAATATGTCCAGGCGTCTCACCGTATTTTGCGCCCAAAATAAATATATGATTTGATGAAACATAGATTCAATTATGATATTTAATTGAAAAAAATGTCATGGAATGTTGCGTTCCAGATTGAGCTTCACGACGAGGCAGTGTGTAGATCGATTGTTGAATAGATCTCTATCGAATGGTCACGATCAATAAATAGAATTGCAAAGATATGGATTTATCGATCGAGATTATCCGATAACGATTCAACAATCAACCCGCTGGCTTGATAGATAACGTTCCTTCAATTGTCAGCACATCGAAAACTTCGTACACATCGATGAAGCTCCAGTTGGAAGTCTATGTTGTTGCCTACATACTATATCGAAGGCGTTACTATTGAACCGTGAGCAATTTATATCATAGTTTTGATTCTGAAACGACGACTTGACGATTCAACGGCTCGAGGTCTGTTTTCCTCGGTTGTCTGATCAACGAAAAGTTTTCACACCAAAAATCATCATGTGTCACTGGAAGCCTCTAATTTTTTGACAGATTTAGGTTATTGGAGCAATCCGTTGTCTTAAATGCATGATCTCATGCAAAAGTTTGCATGTGAAAGGCTTCCATGTAAAGTTAAGTTCTCAAGGGAGAAAAGAAAATAATCCGATGACGATCTCTTCAGTTTGAGTCAAATTAGCGTAATGATGGTAAAAATTCAGTCAAAAAATAACTGCAACTTAAAATCAATAGCAAAATTTTTCTTCGAGAGTTCCTGAGTTTTTTGACGAATAACTTTTTCAAGTTTTGTACAGCCGTATGGATAAACGTTCATTATTGTTGATTTTATGTTCACAATGACATTCCCTTTAATATAACCACTTGCCACTCACACATGTCCTCGTTCTTCTACGTCGAGATGTTTAAAAACGGATCCTTTTATTTGAAAATTAATTAAATTTCCATGAGAGGTCGATTTATTGGGAGCGATGAGACATTGTTCAGAGAGTTCAGAGCTCTGAGCCATCGTTGTCTTTTAAACTTTTGATGCAAATTACACAAACTTTAAAAATTACCCATGCATACATGGCTCTGAAGTCTTTATGGTAGGTCTCATCGCTGATATGATTGAATCCGCTTTGAATTTCAACTGAGCTTAAATCCGCCTCAAAAAAATACACTTAAAATCGACGAGGCGCGCAGAAACGAATGTTTGACGATGACATTTTCCTATCAAGAGTTCGTGGTGCATCAAAGAACAATCCCTCTTTTCTGTCATTAATTTAATCCAGATTTGCTCTCTTGCCGAAGAGATTCAACTTACAAATTTCGCTGAATCGGGGCTACGTTATTGAGCGAAAAGTAAAATTCGCGGGTTTACATTTATTTCGCGGCCGCGCGTGTATCTGGTACGGACGGGATAAATTCGCGCGCTAATTTCACGTTAATTGCTTTTGGCTCGCCTCTAGACGGTCGACAAAGCCCAAAAACCCAGCCGTGTACACAAGCGCCAGGTCTTACCCTAAAAGCATCAATGAATCATGGCAACGGTCTCCCCGCAGAAAGAACTTAAACGCCTTTGCTGTACGAACTTTTTACCCCTGAATTTTCTTTACATTTTGGCTTCATATTTAACACCAAAATTGTTACTCTCGTAGACCACTGGATTTCATTTAGCGAGGGAAACAGTTACGTAATCTTAGCAACAATACAGCGGAATTCACTATCTTTTAAATTTTAAAAGAAGAAAAAAAGAGGTCTTCGCTTTAAAAGCCTTCAACTTGTTCTAAAAAGACTCATCCTCCGGAAATTCATAATACCTGCAATTTAGCAGAACAACCGACGGAATTCTACCTTGGGGAGTTTCCGGAAAAATTTTGTGGTGGGGCTGGGGAGTTTAAGGCCTAACTACCCAAGGAGTCTACTGGAATATTGAGCGACTGTATACCTACAATTATGACTTTTGTCTGGGGAGGCACCTACCCTCTGGGGGAACGGTTCTCCGGTGGGCTAATTGTTGAAATTGATAGACGAGGCGATAGACCAAGAAGACATAAGGAGTATGGAGCGATCCTATTGGTTGAGATGGGTGGTTCTTATAGACTAAGGGAGAAAATGATGTACTATCAATAGGGTCTCTCATGGATCGCCGTTAGTTAGTCTATTACTCACCTCCTTTGTCCATTGCAACCACCCGCTTCTACAAATAGGATTCGGATTCCTCCATATCCTTTTTGTTTTCTATCGCTTCGTCTACCAATTTCAAGGATCAGCCCGCTAGACCATCACAGTTGCGCCTGTAGACCGTATTCGATAGTGGTTCGACGTATCGTTTGGTTCAAAACAATAGACCATAACCTCAAACTAAAATTTAAGGATTTCAGTTGGAAAAGCTAAAAATGAGAAAATTTTCAACAGGTACACTTTTCATTGGTATTTGGTATTCAAAAGAAAAAAAAAATCTATCACAAAAAACCCGTTCCCTCAGATTTCTAAATTGACTTTTGAGGCTATGTTTACCTATGTTGAACCAATCGATATCGATACAATCTCACCTGTTCGATGTATCGAATACGATCTAGATCGTATTCGATACGTCAAGCGGGTGAGATTGTATCGATATCGATTGGTTCAAAACATATACATAGCCGCAAAAGTCAATTCAGAAATCTGAGGGAGCGGGTCTTTTGAAATAGATTTTTTATTCTTTTGAGTACCAAATGCCAATGCAAAGTGAAATTGTGTGGAATTTTCTCATTTTCAGCTTTTCCAACTTAAATCCTAATTTTTTTTGTTTGAGGTTATGTTCTATTATTTTGAACCAAACGATACATCGAACCACTATCGAATACGGTCTATAAATTTGACAGCTATCGATGTGGGCTCTTGGATATTTTTTCCGGATGACACCGGGCAACGATGTGATGGTTTGGCCGAGGGATTGGGGTCAAGGTCGTGGGCCTTACTCGCCTCCCCCCGTTCGAAAAGGGGGCGGGGAGGGCGAAAAACGGGAGTATCGTCGACTCATCATTCGCACTTGAGATTTACTTCCCATGATGATTACTCAAGGGCGAGCCGCGCCGGATTGCGACGCCCCGAGCCCCCGCCGCCGAAAATGTTTACGTTCCCCGATCGGTTCATTATTCTTCTGAAATAGAGTCTTAATTCCAGTGCGTTTCATTAACTGGGAACTATTTATACTGAGCCCCGAGGACGAAGGAGAGGGGTGATTCGGGGTAACCCATATGTATATTCCGAGGCGTAGACGCTCGGTTCTTGCAAAGTTCCTGCGAGTGACTGAGACTACAACAAACTAAAAAATTCCCCCGGTCCCTGAGCAGCTTAAACCCAGTGGCGTGGCGTGCTTTGCGATATATCGATTGATCTGCCATTTAAACCTATGGAAAAGAATCGATAAATAGGGTGTTCCTAACAAACACCTTAATAATCGATTCCTTATTATAGCTTCAAATGGGGAAATATCGATAATCGTTTGTTCACGTCACGCTACTGCTTAAACTCCGTCTTGTGCTCCGCGCCCTTTTGAGAATACCTCGCAGACATATAAATCATGAGGATGATTAAAAAAATTGATGGCAGAGATGGAAAGCGAAATTTCACACTTTGTAATTTCATGAAATTTCAGAACGTCATAGCCTCAGTGATGTAGTGGTCAAGGCAGTTCGCTGCCAACACTGAGATCCTGGGTTCAATTCCCGGAGGTGACTGATATTTGAGGTTACTCAAATATCAGTCATTGTGACCGTGGATGACTATGCCACTCCAACACCCTGTGACCTTTCGAGGTAACAGGGTATGGGAGGGACACAGTCACCCAGTATAAGTAATCAGTCTGGATTGTTCGACTGGGTTGTGAAAAAATCAGCCAGTTGCCTTGGCTCCTTGAAGGCGCCTCGCTGGTAAGCCTGGCCCTTACTTAATACATTTCAAAAGACTCAAACAAATTTTACAAAATTTGAAATTGTGGAATTTTTTTTCGGAATTATTAATTTAATCTTCGGAAGTCCAAAAACGTTTCAAATAGTCTCTCTGTTGATGCGCAGCAATATTATGCTACCCTATTGAGGTGTCATACACGAAGGGGGGTACAAAAGGGACTTTAGAGAGAAATGTAGCCCCAACCTAACCTCTAAATCAAACGAAAACATTTGCAACGCGTAAGTATTTTTAAGGCTTGGTGTGAAAAATGTCAAAATCGGAATCAACAGTTTCTAGGCGTTTCTTGGCCTCCTGAATGCACCCGGCATCCCCAAAAGTTAAAAAAAAATTCATGAAATTTTCCAGCTCTGATTGACGGTAGGGTAGCAATCTCTTGTGTGATTAAGTCAGGCAAAACGGCCACTGAGGTGAACCTCATCTCACTACATAATTTATATGATAAACAATAAGCTGTATGTCGATACTATAAGCCTGAAAAATAGTGAAGCAAAATAATTGAGGGCCGAAAATGCTCTGCCTCTACCATCATATATTTCTCGAAGATTTACTGCCACTCCTACATCGTGGA